TGACACCTTCTCCAACTTCTGGCACATATCACAAAGGTGACATCACCCCGCCGCTCCAGTTGCATACCAAAAACCTTAAACAGTCTGAAACATTACCATCAGACGCCAGCATTGGGCTCTAATAGAAACATCTGGACATTTATTTGTTTCCGTTGAAAAGATTGAAAGTGGGTTTGGGTACTTTGTTCTTGACAAACAGTGGAGCAAATGTGTCCTCCTTAAGCATCTATTTCATGTCAACACAAGAGAGGAACTGTCTCTTTAAAGGAACACAATGTTAAAATAGTAGGAGCTCAATATAATTAAGATGTATGCCAACACACCTAATTCACTTTAACAACATCGCTGATGATTTGAGCTGTCCAAATGAAATGTTTGCCTCCGAAACATCTGGATCACATTAAAGGGGAAGTTCGGAGTTTCTCTTTATGTACACGGCTCCAGTTTGGCATTCGTCAGCTAACTGTCTCCAAGCATTAACCCAGCAGGAAGGCCTCACTTATATTAGGAAACTTCCAATTAAATGTTCTCAGACTAAAAGTTAATATCAGACTGGCCTTATTCAGAGACATTCAGCTAAACAACAGGGATTGTGTCTTCTTTAGAAAATGCTTTCTCATAAGTTACCCCAAAAATGTGGAATTCAAAAAAGATTTTTTTTTTTCAATTATTGAACAATTAAAATAATGTGAGCGATTTTCCTGCAAAGTTGAACCAGTAGATAGTTGCCCAAACTATGTCCATAGCAATCTGACAAGTGTGGCATTTTTTCATCAACAATATTTTTTTTGCATAAATATGAAACATGACTACAGTCATACTCTGTGAGGGAGTAGTTGAGAGTTAAAAGTGAGTCTAATTCATCCATTTAAATATTTATAAAATATAAGCTCAAGTCACAAAAATCCCACCAGTAGTTTTCTATGTCTAGTAACCTTTCTGGTGGCACTGTAGGAAAAGCCAGACGATCACTTAGCATCAGTCGGCTTCTGCCAGTGGGGATCATGAATGTCTGCACAAAACTGCATGCAATCCATCTAACAGTTGTTGAGATATTAGTCTGAAAAAATAATGCCAGCCACAGTGTTGCCATGGTTAAAAACACGGTAACACATGCTTTCTGCTGCAGATAATAGACCTAACAGATTGCCGACTCTTGAACTTGAATTTAATTTTAAGTATTCACATTTCCAGCAAAACCTGAGCATATTTCTTTGTGTCTCAATTATTTTTGGTATAACATGACTGCGTCAGTGTGTTTACGTTTAAACATACATTTGGATAACAGCTCCTGGCTTCCTTGCTTTGCTTATATTCAGGACAAACTGTTTGTGTGTGTGTCATCACATCCTGAGCATGGGTGGAAAAAACTGCATGAAAAAACACCACAACAGAGAAAATAACTAATCATTGGATTAAGTGACTACAAGGATTAGTGTCCCAGTTTTTTCTCAATGTTCTCTTTGTAAATTACTACTTAAGAAATGCATTATATGGGTGTTAATAAAATATGATGTTCACATGTTCATATATAAACCAGAATACTCGAGTAGTCTATATAATGTATGCATGGAAACCAACTCACAACATTGCTGCACAAATCCACAAAGAAGAGAGAGAGTTCAGCCTCATTGCTTTTATTAACATTTTTCGGTCCCCTTCCCTTAAATCAAGGGACAAATTACTTACGGAAAAACACCATCTGTTATTTCAGAGATTGAAACTGAAGCATAGAGTTCCTGCACCTCACCCGCTCACACATTCATGTTAAGAAACAGTCCCCTCTGTGAAATACCTAGCATTTAACTTATCATGCAGCTCTGGAACATGAGAGAAAAGTCTCATTAGGGCTTCAAGCACTTCTTTCATGATTTTCACCCTTTTCCTTTTTCACCTTGCATTTCTTTCGTTTGCCCAAAATCTGTCTTTTTCTGCGCTGTCCTAAAGTTTCTTCATGGAATGTGTTTTTGTTAGATATTCCAAATTCTCTCTTCCCATTTTCCTCAGAGTAAAACAGATTAAATTACAAAACCAGACATCACATTAGATTTCACTTTAACCTAACAAAGTAAAAAAGGAAGCAGAACATGTCTGACTTCTTTGGTCTCGGAGAAACTGCAATTGAGCGCAATTGCTGACAGAAATAAAATAGAAATGCTGAAGTAAGAAAAGGAAATGTTTGTTCAAAAATAGACATAAACAACACCCGATTCAGACAAAAAAGCGTTAAAGGCTGCAGATGTGGACTGAACAGTACCAGTAACTGAGACACTCATATCTGAGTCACGCACACACTCTCACACACAGGCACATTTGTTGACTGAAACCTGCACTGATCAGCACTTCTTTGTTGTGGCAGAACCATAATAAGGCTTGAAACTTAAATTCTGACACTCATAAACACCAGGCAGAGATGTCAGAAAATCATTTTTCATTTCACCTTTCATCCACACCACTGACAGATCAAACCCTCTTCCATCAAAATGAATAATCAGTGTCTCACAGCTGAGGAATAAACATTGGAAATTGCTCTTGGAGAAGCGTGTCAACCTCACAAGAAAACACTTCCTTCACTTCTCGAGGTAATGCTGATAATGCAACGCAGACTCCACATTAAACTCTTAGGTTGACATCATAGGTTGACACGCTAGTCTCATCAACCCACAAGTTGCCATGATTTGTTTTCTTTCTTGTTAAAGAGGATGAGTAATGTTAGTGGAACAACTGTTATTAAGAAATAAACACAAACAGTGGAAAATGAATCCTTACTGTCACTTATAACTCATCCTGTGTGGAAAACTAAATGTAAAGTGTGACACTTCAACATGATCGTAGCTGTAAGAAGTGAAGTAAGATATATTATCTATATAATTAAAAGAATAGCTCAAAATGTTGGTAATATGTGTGTTATTTTCCTTGCTGAAAGATGGAAAGATTGAAAGCACTTTGCCTGATATCTCAACCAGTCTCACGGCATTTCGTGTTCACCAACACGATTTTTAATCTATCGATTCGTGTTCACCAACACGATTTTCGTGGGGGGAAAGGGGAAAGACTACCAATAGAAATACATTGCTTTTAAAATCGTGCTGTGCAACACAAAAAAAAGGGGGAAAATCGTGTTGGGGAACACGAAATGCCGTGAGACTGGGTTGGATATCTGCAGGATCAACTTAATGCTATAGTCAGTGGCTAGTTAGCTTAGCTTAGCATAAAGACTGGAAACTGCTGACTCATTCTGCCAAAATGTGGTTTAACACATAACACAACCAATTAAAGCTTTACACTTTGGTTTCGTACAAATTAAATAAATACAAAATATGACCTTTTTAAATAGTGAGACAAGTTTTGGACACAGCCAGTCTAGCTGCTAGCCTGTTTCCAGTCCTTATGATAAGCTAAGCTAAGCTAATCCCCTGCTAGTTGAAACCTTTATAGCCCATTCATTCGAGTGTTATCAATCTTTGCATGTCATTTATTGCAAAACTGTGTAAAACTATTGATAAAGTAACAATTTGGGCTTCATTTTTTTTATCATGAGTGTTTGTTCAGCCATATTAACCGTCTACCCGCAACACTAGTCGGGAAAAAGCACAACGCTGATACACACACAGGTGAGTTGAAAAATGTTTTTGGTGCGTTAGCTTTGCCTATAACCTCTGGCATATCAAACACTGCTGAGTAATAGCAAACAGTGAAGTGTCACCGCACCCAGTTAGTGGAAATGCAAAGGCAATCAGTCGGACCATAGACTGAATAACCAGTGTGTTACCTCACTCGTTGACAGACAAATTAAAATAATTGTTGGAACACTGTTCTCTGATGTATTGTGACTACACAACTCAGGAAATTGCAATTAAATGCTGAGTCGATCGTCTGCGTCACACAACCAGTTCATTCACCTCAACTGTCTGATAATGTTCATACTTGTAGGGAAACCTTCTGCTACATATCAAACATTTTGTTTTACACGATGGAAAAAAGCAATTGATCAGCACAGTAGTTCATTTCATTTCACTCACTCACCCACACATAAACACACACCCCACAGTATAACCCACTACTGTATAAAAACATGTGCAAACGTTTTACTAAATGCAACTCATTCAAAATAATTCCCCCTATAAAACACAAGCCATACTACAGACAAATGGTCCATTTAAAAATATTCCATCAGAATACCTCGGATAAAGTAAAGGCACTTTCTGTTTGAAAATCGTAGAAAAATTACATTACTAAACCTGTAACTATTAAACTGAATATTATATCAGTAAGTCTTCCACATGGTGCAAAGTTAAGATATATATTTGTGACTTCTACTAGGAGATACCAGACAAAATGATATGCATTTAATTGCAGTGAACATCTGAGCGAGATGAAGGTGCATTCCCAATGTAATTGTAATTTGGCCAAAAATGATATATTTTCATTGCCAGTGACTGCAATAAAATCCTAAAATTCTATATTGAAGAGCATCTGGAATGTTTTTCTGATGGTGGTTAATGAACCAGAATATTATAGTAGTTTTCCTTGATAATTGTACATTTTGGAAGCTACATGAATCAGTCCCAGGAGAATCCAAAGTGCATGATGTTGGAGAGAAGGGGACAAACAGAACCCGTTTCATGGTGTTACACTGTACAATAAAATACAGATTAGGTATAAATCTGTAACCTATATTCATATTTTAATGTTACAATCACCTTAAATTATGTAAAATAAACAATATGCTGCAACATTGCCTATGTGATGTGTATTTCAGAAATATAAAGGTACAGTAGGTCTCAAAATGTTTTGACTTTATATCCGTCAAAGTGAAAGACTGGCTTAGTACGTCATTCCAGTAATTACTGCTTAATTTATCTGCAAGTCTTTTCCAACTCTTCCAATACCCGTCAAAACGCCTTGATAAGAGTCAACATCTTCCTTTTTCCTTCTCTTCTCTAGTTTTTGGCATCTTGAACCAGGCAGCAGTTTGGTGTCTCTACAGACCGTCGTACATGCGCAGGGTGCGCTCCAGTTGCTGCACAACACGCTGGTAAAAGGCTATCTGCTCCGTGAGGTAGGCCTGCATCATCTGTTTGAAGTCCACCTCTCGCTGCTGGTGGAAGTGGCTCATCTCCGCCTGCAGGGCAAAGCCAACCGTCCGGCAGCGTTTCCTGATGCCATCGGCCTCGCCCTGGTCCATCTTCCCCTCGTCACTCATCCGCTGGCTCTCCTTCACCTTGGCGAAGGCACCTGGGATAAGGTTAAAAGGTTATATATTTTAAAAACAGTATTATTATAAACAAAACACTTATGTGTCAATATTGGTAGACGTATATTACGATACGATACGATAACGATAATACTTTCTTGGTCAGATCGAGTCTGAAATTTGACTTGCATCACGTTGCATTGAATATAGGCTAAGGCCATCGTGATGTTAATAAACAGAAAAGGTTATCGTAGGTGGTGTGTGGTGATTCAGTTTCTGTTTAACTTGCCAACTTTTTGAGATATCCACCTCTTACTGTAGATGTCTGCCTCAGACACAGACAAATATTGTGTCTTCGATATGCAAATTACTCTTTATGCAGCTTCAATCACTGGCAACACATTTATCAACCCTTAATTTGGAGTAAATTATGACTACCGACAGACTTTTCTTGCAACTTAGTTATGGAAAATGCTTTCCTTTTGTAACCAGCAGAAATCCTATACATGTGAATATGCCTATTATGACATTGTACGTCCTGGATTGTGACTATTGCACATGTTCACCTTGCAATCTGGCTACTGACATTTTTAGCGGGTTGGTTGTGTTTTGGTTGGACCGGCCTTTAAAGTCACCAAAAACTATTTTCAGACAATCTAAAAATGCATTCGTACCAATAAAATGCAGTGATGATAGAGGCAGTGAAAAGCTGTAAAATGTGCTTCTGATTAAACTATAAAAATAAAAACAGTAAAGCACATTTTGTCATAAAAGATAACTATAGTTAAAAACCGTCTCAGATTTTGATTGCTCTTCTGGCTTTGGGTTACTTTACGTTGTGCTAGCTATATGGAAGGGAAATAAAATGCCACAGTAATGCTATACAAATATCTCCGTCATGGAAGGCAGCAGTAAAAAACAACTTTTCCCCTATACTCCAGTGAAGCTGTACACTTTATAGGTAAAGCAGGGAACAAACCACACAATTACTTTTTGTTTCATTGCATACTTAAATGTTTAGTTTCAGTTTGATGCAGAAAAAGTTGTAACCACATTCACACAGACTGAATGACGAACATAGCAGCCTAATGGCATGTCGCTCTGCTGCATTTCCCACCAGATTAGAGAGTCTGTCTCATACGAGCTGATCTCCATACCAGGAAGAAGACTGACTTTAGACATAAGCTAGCTAGCAGTACTAGTTTGGACAGGCTAGTTGCTCTGTCTTTAATGTATCCACTGCACGTTGTATGCATTAACTCTATATGTCAGTTCATGCCTTAGATTTTGTATGAAATTCTTGGCAGAAGTCTGGGAAAGCATGAACAGCACCTTCAGACTGTTCCAGCGAGGAGGCGTGTGGAGTACAGTTAGTGGCGTTGACCTACATTCATGAATTCTGTTTTCCACATGAGAGGAGAATGTGCATCACCAGAGAGCATGTCTTTGGGACATAAAGGAAAGGAGCTCATGGTTGTGTGTGCAGCGGGGATTTATGGGGGGTGGATTTTTGGATCAGCTAATGCACAATCTCATCACAAAGATGCACTCTTCCTCGTAGCTAAATCTGCTCTCTATATTGCAAAACTAAGTTACATGACACAAGTCACCAAAAAATATGGTTGGATTTAAAATCATGCTGTTTTGGTTTGCTTCTATTCTTAAAGCCAATTATTTCAACATGTTCGGATCAGATAATGCTTCCTTGCAGCTAAATCGGCTCTCTAACTTAATTAAAACTAAACTAACTCAATTAAAGTCCAAAAACCATACTTAAAGAAAATAATTATGGAATAAACCAAAGCTGTTTAAGTTTCCTTCTTTTCTAAAATCCAATCCTTCTCTCCCAGGCTGCCAGAGGGCCTAGGTATAAAAGTCACGGCTCGCCACTGTGCTCTATGATACATGGCCAGTGGTCTAGAAAGTCACCAGATTTGTTTATCTTGCCCAACCAGACTGGCGACCGCATGCTTTATGGCTGTGGTGGCCAAAGAGAGGATTGCACTATTTCACACGTGACAGCTTCATGGGTCTGTGCCGGCTAGATATTAGTGCTCAGCGGGGGATTAAGAAAGACACGAACAGTGTGAGCTGATACAACATAAATAAGGCTTTCTAGCATGGTTTCTGCAGGGTTCACTTAGTTAAATGTCACCCCATGAGTGAATATTCAATGTCATGATCATACTTTCCAAAGTGTCTTTTAAACCAGAGGGGACAAAATGGCCTAGAACTATTTATTATGATAAACCTATTTTACAACTTACCAACAACAGTATATAAACTAGGCCCTGATGATATAATTATTTAAATAAATGCAACCTGGAATTGGGAAAGTGGCAGTAAAAGTGAATGGATGATTAACCAATTCAAAAATTAAGTTTTCTGCCAAACTCAACACTAGCCCTTCATTACTTAATTGCTTTCTAACGAGCGGGCTGTATTAACAGTGTTAGCTACAGGCCTGTTATACAACATGACTGCATATGCCTATAATATTTACACATTTTGAAAAGAAAATGCCTTTTTAGAAGAAAATTGTCCTTCATAAGACCTGCAGATACCCTGTCTAGTTTATTAAGTCATACAGTATGTGTATAGAAGAAGAAGAATGAGGACGGTGGAGATTCATTACGGCCACAACCCTCTGGGGAATTGAACTCAGGCATCTGCTAAATTCCCCATTCCCACAGCCCGAGGTCACTGCAGAGTGAATTCAGGAAGTTCAGCACTTCTTCTCCACGTCTTCATCTATCTTCTGTCCGTTTTACACAAACAATAAACTAAGAACGGAAGATATTTGTTTTGAAGATATGTGTGTTGCTTGGGTTCTTTTATGTATGTATGTCTGTCAAAATGTCCCAATCCCCTATGGCTGAGCTGCTTTGAACCATGACTTTTCTCCACAGACTGAAGGCTCTTCTAAGATCCAAACATTTGCAGAAAGCAGTTTCAAGTTCTTTAAGTGTGTTTAATCTGAACTCCTACTCATCTGGGAGCATGATTTCCAGTCACAGCTATTTAAATAATTCTTCCTGTTTAAAAATAAAGTTGTCATTAAACTGAAGTGGAGACATTTAAGTTGAGGCTTGTTAGTATAAATTATCATTCCCCTTTTAATTTGTATTTAATCAGACAGGATAAAAATAACATTGGTTGATAGGCAGTGGCGGCCGGCCCATGGGGGCGCTAGGGGCGCCGCCCCCCCTCTTCCCACATGTTTGATTGTCATTAAAAATTAAAAATAAATATGAAAGAAATATATTTATTTATTTATTTTTAATGAACAAGCTAAATATTATATAGTTGGTATCAGTAAAATGTATAATCTATAATAAAATCTCGTTTAAAATTGTGTTACGATGTCTAAAGTTACTGATAAGTCACATGTTTCCTGCCTGGCCGCAGCGTGTATAATCACCCTATCTCGTCTGGGCAATAAGAAAGGAGCCCTCAGCAAGTGCAGCAGAAGCAGCCGTGTTGCTATCTGTAAACTATGCCACCGAAACATAATTTCAGCCAATCAGCGTCGTCAGATCTGATGGTCATAGGGCGCCCTGTCAGCGCCCTGGCCTGTGTGTCTGTGAGTTGTTTGGACTTGTGTCCAAGGTGACGCTACAGTAGTTGTCTGCAGGTGGAGACTCCGGTGCTAGTGGATCGCCGGAGCTGTAGATTCACATTTACATGCTTTTTGTAGTTGTAAGTGCAATGCCTGTAGCACCATGGAGCATATGTGTGGGCTGGACCTGTATTTTACAGGAAAGGAGTGAGCAGAGGGTCGAGTTGTCGATTCTTGTTCAGTTTTCATCTTCCTCACCCTCTCAGAGTTTGAGTTGCGCGCGCTGCTAAAGAGACGCGCTACCATGGAAACCAAACAATGGTGTAGCTGTATTAAAGTCCGAGTGGAAACAGTCGTGAGTAAATCTGATTTTGTCAGAAATCGGGAGAAATGCGGGAGTCTCCCGCGAGAATCGGGAGGGTTGGCAAGTATGACACACACACACACACACACACATGATATTCGTATTTAGTCTCCTGATTTTAAATGGGAATTAAATCATTTGAGTGTTCCCAAAGCACCAGTGTTCTGCAGTTTGTGTGGGCACACTGTACTGTTGCACAGTTTTGGAAGATTCATAGCTAACCACACTGAAGATTATGGATTATCTCATATTTTTAAGCCTCAATTTGTCCTCCCCCCCACCCCCCTCTAACATCACCAGAAGTCATAATTTAAGGGGTCATTTCTCAAAAATGTCCCCGGACCGCCCTAGTATGGTTTGGTCACCATTTCCATAGCCCCACCAAAAATGTGTCGTAGAATCAACTTTTTGACATGCGATATTATTGAAATGGCTGTCTTGATTCATCAGATCAGCTAGTAAACTGAAAAAAAGTGATAATGTCTTCCAAATGATCATATTTGAGCAGTCAAGGGGGGAAACTATTATAAAATCTAAATGTTTGCACACATTGCAATAAACAAAACCATGGCGTTCCTATTTTTTGTCAGAAAAAGTAAAAAAGAATATCCCCTTGCAACAAAAAAATAGTTTGTTCCGAAACCATATGACCTGTGTCACATGATGGATCTCAGTGGCAGCCATTTTCAATGCATACTGGTTAGTGTCCTCTCGTTTTTTTAAACATTTTATCTTTAATAGTGTATTGTCAAGGAGAATATAAATCGACCAATACCATGCAAGGCCTGACATTGAAATGGGCTAAAATAGGGAAGATGTCAACTATCTTACCTGTTTAACTAAGTTACCCAAAGTACGGCCAAGTTGATGTGACCCTACTTGGATCACTGGGTAAATGTTGTTTCCCTTAAAATACCCAAATTCTTAAAGCTTTGCGATGGTTTACTATGGTTTGCTTTATGTACAAAGCCATTACTTATGTACTATTGTGTTTGTGTCAACGGTGCCACCAATTATAGAATGACTTATAACCTAGCCAAAAGACTTGGACATTGGGAAAATGGAATTTAAAATTCAAGATACACTCCTTCAAAGGTTGTACCTTCCTTTAAGAGGTTAAGTTGGATACAATCACCAATTGTGAAAACATTGCTTACTAAAACCCTTTATCTTCTTTCATTTCCAAATACTGCCAGGACTCTCTGTACTGTAAAATAAACAAATCTGGGATTTTGGACCAAAGATATCAAACACAGGAAGACCTAACGTGACTGACTAAGATTAGTGGATGTTATTCA